AAACTAATCTGCAGATAGGTCTGTCCCCACACAATGCCTGCCATTGGGGGCAAGGGCTTTAATTAAAATGGAAGAGTTGGTAATTTTTGGCCTATCTGGGAAGCTTAAAGCTGATGTGGTTTGAAGGAAAGTAATGACTTTTGCTTAAAATGCAAATATTAATGCAAGAAAGAGCTGGGAATGACTCTCAGTGCAATTGAAAGATTATAATTTCTTTTTCATGCCTTTTCTTAAAATAATTGCCCTTTTCCCCTTCGAAACTCTCTAATATATATATCTAACATGCAGGATATATTTTTTTCTTTAAAGTTTCTTGCAGTTGGCAGTATGTCTGTCTTTAAAAATTCGTAGAAGCAGTGCAAATTTTAGGTATAAATAAGTCTTTGAAAAAGTCATAAAGATTTGTTGTCGTATGTGTTTGTATGGCATAAACCAGTTTCAGAAATAGCTTCCTTCCAGGCCTTCTCAGTTTGGTCTCAATTCAGATACAGAAAACAAACGTGTCCTCATTGGGAAAAGTACACATTTTTTGCCCTGGCCCTTTTGTATCTACCAAAATAAAGTTTTAAAATTTGAATTAACATGCATTGCTCTTGGGTTAAGGATGCTTATCTAATTACCAAGTATTGCGATAAAAAATATATGCGTTTTGAATGTTGATAAGACATTTACAAGGGTAGATGGAAATGTGGTCAATTATACCAGTACATGTGAAAAGCATTCCCAATCATTGATATTTTTTACTAATTACAATCATTGTGAGTGAAAAGTATAATGAGTTATGATGGCTTGAGCATTACAAAGTTGTTGTTATTTTTATATTAAAAGCAAATGTATAGAAGGAAAAAATGAAAACTACCCATATTTCCTCTACCTTAATAAATCATGCTCCCCCCACCTCTTATTGATATACTAATGATTTTTTATATAATTGCTCATATATAATATGGGCAGTTTTGAGTTTAGCATTTGACATTCAACATTCACTATTTAGAAAGAACTTCTTTTTTCAGTTTCCAGTTGAATATTAGAGCATTCCGTGGGTGCTTGTCGACTATGTAGCTGTCTCCCATTATTTTTGTTTCTTTTTAGATAATACTGGGATGAACATCTTTGCTCAAATTAATTTTAACTTTCTGTGGGGAAGGTTTTGTTTTTAGAATAATTTGAAGGAAGTGAGATTACTTTGCCAAATGTCAAGCAATTCAGGTAGTTAAGGGGGTCTAGAGCAGCCAGACGAAGGAAGACACTGTAGGTGACTCAGAGTGTCCTGTCTTGAGAAAGAGGTGTGTGCCAGGGAGAAAAGAGAGGGCTCACAGGCAGATCTGCACCCTGCTATGAATGGTGTTGACACCCAGGCTGAGGCTGGGCAAGGTGTTGAATGGTATTGAAGATACCTCAGCACTGTTGAATGGTGTTGAATGGTGGTGTTGAATGGTGTTGATGACAGCCCTACACTGAGGCTGGGCAAGGTGCTGAGCACCCTGAAACATTCTGCTGGGAAACTCTTTCCCTTTGTCAACCAACATCCTTAGGAAGTGGTTTTGGATTTGAATCAGATGAGCTGGGAGGGTGACTCCACACTCCTCTCATTGTCTTTGGAGTTTTTACTTCCAGCTCAAAGTGGGTTGGCTCGTAGGTGGGAAGGCATTGGATCCAGCCCAGGCAGCCTGGAAAAAGCAGCAGAAGGGAAAAAAGATGACCAGACAAAAGGTACACACCTCTGCTACTGTCCAAAAGCAAATAGTGTTTGCCAAGGCTCTGTTTCTCTTCTCCCACACACAAGGGCAAAGGCAGTGCCTGTAGAGGAGTCAGTTGTCTTCCCATCAAAGTTGGAGCTGGGGGAGCTGAAGGAGAAAAAACAGCCTTTAATGGACAACATTTGGTAATATTCCTTAAACCCCAGCGTCTCTCCTCACAGCATGGCTTCGCAGCAGTTTACAATTTATTTCTATTTCTTTTCAGTTAACAAGTTCTTACTAGTTTATCAAACTTCAATTAAGTAACCCAGTGAACTCTGCCTTTGCCGGAAAGAGTCTTTATGAAATAAGAGTAATATTTTAGGAAAGAGAAAAGAAAACAACCACCACAAAATAGGCCATTTAATGAGATTTCCAATTTTGCCACAATTTTGTTCTCTGGGAATCTAGGTCTTTGAGTAGATTGATGATGTGGGAACTGTGATAAGAAGTTTTTCTATGGTAACAAATGAAAAATTGAAAACCTACTTCAGCCATATTTGAGTTCTCACTGTTATCACTTCGCCTTTTCACCAATTACCTGTCTGTTGTGCTTTTTACCAGCCTAGGCTCTGTGGCCACATTTCAGCACCTTGCAGGTTTTTCTGATGTTCTCTTTTATTTTTTTGACTAAAGCAGTATATTCCTAATATTACCACTATCCCTTCCCACAAAAAGCAAACAGAACTGTAGAAAATGTATACAGATTTTAGTAAACATATTTATCTGCACAAAGAACAAATACTAGTTTGCACTGAATAGTTCTCAAAAACATGGAAGCTGAATGATGGTGTTAAAATCATATGACATATGTTCATATAGGTCTCTGTTTCTCTGTCCCACTCTAATCTTCCAGATAAACCCTACTTTAAAATTACTATGCACCCTAGAAATAGGTACAAATGTATTATAAAATCACACTTCAATGCTTCTACAGGTCTGTAATATTTTTCATGTTCCAATAGCACTTTTAAACCCATTTAAAGGCCTTAAAAGTGTTCAGGGATGGTTTAGAAGCACAGCCTTCTTGCTGTAGGCACATAAAAAAAGAATTAAAAAAATGATAAGTGAGGAAAACCAGACAGGAAGGATTTACAGTATATCCTGTAAACAAGATGCAATTTGCTGTGTGGCTAATCAGTGAAGACAAACCATCATTCAGTAGATTGGCTAGAACTCAACTGTAAGTAAGGGCAAAGTGGAGTGAGGCCTGGAAAACAAGAAAGAGTTTCTGAGTAAAAGAAGGGGATAGAGGATTAATTAGGTAGAAGTGGATTCAAGGCAAATTCACATTATAGATTCTACATATAAGTGGGATCTCATGAACAAAATAAACTGATGAACAAAATAGATTCGTAGACATAGAAGCATGGAACAGACCGAGGAATCTTAGAGGAAAGGGGGGAGATGTGGGGAGGGAAGAGATTAACTAAAGACTTTATATGCATATAGGCATAGCCCTTTGACACAGACAGTAGTGCGTGAAGGCCTGGTGTGTGTGGGGGAGCGGGGTGGGAGGTCAGTGGGGGGAAATGAGGATATCTGTAATACTTTCAAAAATAAAGACAAAGTAGAAAAAAAAATCACATTATAGAAACTATGGTAGAACCAAAGATAGGGATTGGTGCAGTCAGTGCTGAGAAATCTTTATTAAGCATTATGTAGATTGCAGGTTTTCAATGCATTGTCTTATTTGATTCTCATGGCAAACCTAATAAATATTATTGTACTCATTTTGTACATGGAGACAGTGAGACTCATTTTGGCTGTAAACAAATTAGAGTAAGTGACATGTTCAATATCATACAATTAGAAAGTGGTAAACAGCCAGAAGTGAGGTTTTGAACTTCTGACAACAGTCATGCACAGCTTAACAATGGGGCTACATTCTGAGAAATGTGTCCTTAGGTGATTCCAGTGTTGTGCAAACATCATAGAGTAAGTTTATGCAAACCTAGGTGGTATATAGCCTACTACACATGTAGGCTCTATGGTATAGCCTATTGCTCCTGGGCTATAAGCCTGTATAATAGCATGTTACTGTAACAAAACTACACAAGATTAAATGAAGCACGAGAGACGATGCAAGCAAGAGATTAGTTAAATATGAGACACATGAGGCTGCTGCTGGCATAATACAGTATGCTCTTTTACAGGAAACTTCTATTTTTATGTGTAGAAATAGTACACTTTAACAGTAAAAAGTATAGTGTAGTAAATGCATAAACAAGTAACATGGTTGTTTATTATCATGACCAAGTATTATGTACTGTACATAATTGCATGTGGTATGCTTTTATACGGTGGCAGTGCAGTAGCTTTGTTTACACCAGCATCACCATAGACACGAGTAATGCATTGCCCTACAACATTACCATGGCTGTGATGTCACTGGGTGACAGGAATTTTTCAGCTCTTTTATAATCTTATGGGACCACCATTGTATATGCTGTCTGTCTTGACTGTATTTTATTACTGCTCTTTTCACTTTACTCCCCTGCCTCAGGTAGCAACTTGGAAGTCAGACCTTCAGTTTTCTTTAAAGGCGAGGGGAGTTTGGGTGGAGCCTCAGTTGAGTAAAGGAATAGAGGAAAGGTGGAACTACTCCTGGTTGTGGACTAGTCAGCAGGCAGAAATCCATAGTCCTGCTAATCCTGCAGGAGGTGGGGCTTTATTTGTTCAATGGGTATGCTACAGAGGGAGTTTGGGCTCTGACCAGTCCTAGAAGAACAGATGATATTTTTTGTTTGCTCATGATATCTGACATTGGAAATCTCTTTTGATAGCTTATTACTGAGGCTCAGGTATGAGAACCTAGGAAATGGCTTCTGTTGGAGATGCTGTGGTGCCTGATTCCTGGGGGGTGAGGGGCACAGAGCATGGCTCCAAGCTCCTTAGGGCAGAGCAGGAGGAGCGAGAGAGAAAGTGGAGAGCCTAGCTTTTCATCACAGTTGATCCGTGTATTATTGCCTCTGCTGACCTGTCTTACTTTTGAGGACAATTAAATATATTATCCACTCCAAGTTAAAAGACCCCAGTGCTCTTACCTTTCTTCATTAGGTGTGTTTTCTAATCCTCAGATTATATTGGCTTTATGACCTTGGGCAGGTCATTTATCAGTTTTTCCCATGTAAGTCACAGGAGTGTGCAGAAGTGTTTTCTAATGTAAGCCCTTATTGGCATTTGCAGTCATTGGCTGTGTTTCCAAGAATTTAAAATGCCTTCTCTTTCTCAGTATCTGGTTTTGCTTTTCCTTCCCAGAGTCGAAAACATGCGAGCAAAGTCCGACTGTATTACATGCTTCACCCCAGGGATGGTGGGTGTCCTGCTAAGAGGCTCCGGTCAGAAAATGTGAGTACCTGGCACCATGTGATACCCTTGGACAATTTGTTGTGTTTGCTAAGAACTTTGCAGATCAAGAGATTGTAGCCACATCCAGCTTAGTGGGAAAGCTGAGTGACTGGAAACAGTTCTCATTAAATATTGTAGAAAATATTACATGTAAGCAAGTCTTTTTTTCTTTTTCCAGCCAGAACTCACCAGTGTGGTATTAGAGGACTTTTTGATGATATTGCTTTGGGACTGCACAGGGGAAGAATGCACAGAGGTGCAGGGACAGAGAGGGCTGGATGAGAGTAGAAAGGAGCCCTCAGAAGACAGAGCAGGGAAGACATGACCTAAGGGACAAACCTGCCAGAAATAGCAGATACTTTGCTTTTTACATATTTTATTTTTTCTTTGGTATGTAAAACAGAATGCCAGTTTGCTCATTTATAATGAGGACTGTATGCATCTTGCAAATGAAAATACTCAGGGTTTTTGATCAGCACCCTCTCTCCTGGAAGGAACATTTCCTTGGGAAGACAATGCTAATTAGAAAGTTGCTTTGAAGGTGTAAAGACAGAACAAAGGGCTTATTTCAGCCAGGTCAAGGCAAAGACTGATGAAATAAATATTCCTAGCAGGGCTTACTTTTCCTAGTAAGTGGAATCTTATTTTTTATTTGAGCTGCTTTTTAACATTAAAGTATAGTTGACATACCATATTATATGAGTTTCAGGTATATAACGTAGTGATTCAACATTTATAGATCTTACAATATGTGAGATACACTAGTTTAGTAACCATCTGTCACTATGCAAAGTTATCACACGATTATTGACTATAGTCCCTTCACCTTTTTCACCCACCCCTCTTCTCTCTCCCCTCTGGCAACCATCAGTTTGTTCTTTGTCTCTATGAGTCTTTTTGTTTGTTCATTTGTTTTGATTTCTTAAGAAACATTCTACTTATTAGTGAAATCATATGGTATTTGCCTTTCTCTGACTTATTTCACTTAACATAATACCCTCTAGGCCCAGCCATGTTGTTATAAATGGCAGGACTTCATTATTTTTATTGCTGAGTAATAGTCCATTGTATATGTGCACCACATTTCCCTTATCCATTCACCTACTGATGGACACCTAGGTTGCTTTCATATTTTAGCTATTACTAATAATGCTGCAATGAACATAGGTGTGTATGTATCTTTTCAAACTAGTGTTTTCATTTTCTTTAGATAAATACCCAGATGTGGAATTGCTGGGTCATATGGTAGTTCTATTTTTAGTTTTTATGAGGCATCTTCATACTGTTTTCCATAGTGGCTGCACCAATTTGCAGTCCCACCAACAATGAGTAGCATTTTCATAGCCATGATAAACACTGAGGATTAAACACAGAAATTCCTTACCCTCTGAGTTCTGAGGAGGCTGCAGACGTAGAATTTATACCCTACACTATCACTTAGGCTTGTGATCCTATTCTTCTTTCCTGCCACATAGATGCCGGTCTTCTTATCTTTATTAATAATTAAACATAATCATTGAAGAAGCTTGACAAAAGCTGTACTTGTATATTCCTCACAAGAAAGAAAAGAGAGAGCAAGAGAACAGCATATGATCAAAGGTAGTGAGCATCAGGGCCGGTGTTGCTGATGAATTCCAAGCATGCCTGTTAGCATCACAAAGTGCACTGCTCATGCACAGACTAATCTGGAATACTGTGGAGTTTTCTTTTCTGCCTCAGTGAAGCAGCATTTAGAGTTGGAGACAAAGGACGCCAAACAACTTAGCAAGTGCTGATTAGTGGGATTGAGTCTAGTTCTGCCAGTGCTCAGCTTTATGACCTTGGACAAATAATTGAGCTCTGTGAGCCTCAGTTTCCTCAATACTGCTATAATAATCATACTTCCCTCACTGGGCCTTTGTGAATATGAAATTAAAGAATAGGTAATGAGGTGCATTGTTAAATGCCAGGCACTGAAGAAAAGAGAGATAAGACACAGACTTGTTTAAAAGAAACTCATAATATAGAGAGGGAGATTAACATTGTATAAAAATTAGCTATAGGTGTCTATTAACATCCTTCACAAAGTCCCATGGAAACAAGGAGCAAGTGGTTATTCCAGGGCAGTCTGATCAGGGAAGGTGTTACTCAGGAGCTGGCATTTGAGTTGGGGTCTTTGGGATTGAATGGGTTGTACCGGATGGAGGCGGTGGGAGTGAGAAAGGAAAGCAGGTGCATTCTAACAAAGGGACTTATTAAAGCACAGGAGAGTCAGCCTAAGCCAGCTCTGTGTTCTCTCAGTACTTTAGCTACACTGGAGTCATGCTTTCCATCAGGTATCTGTTAGAAGAGAGACAGAATTAGTTTTGTTTTTTTCCTTCAAAATTATCCAGCAAGGGTGCCTGTATTGCTTCATTCAATAGCCATTTAGTGTCTTACTCCAATAGTCAGAAACATTGGGTTCAGGGACACTTGACATTTGGCTCTTGAACACAGATCACTTTCTGTCCACTCAAGTTCTGATCATTAATGTTATATCTGAGCTCTTAGGAAGGGCATGGCCAGGCAGACAGAAAGGGGGCCTTGGGGCTCAGGCTAGTGCTCCTCCCAAGCATGGTCTTGCCACTCTGGTCAGACCCATGATTTACCCCATTCAGCCTCTGGTTCTGCCAGGAATCTTGAGGTCAGTTTATGCAGTGGAAGATCTTTGGATTTTAGAGCAAGAAATATTTGCAAGGATTTGAGGACTTTTTCCTTTGATGTATCTGGGTTTTGAAAACTTGGATCTACCATTGATTTATTATTAAATCTTTTTTCTATAACTTATTAATCATGGTGCTAAAGCAAATCAGTAAACAGAAAAAGCAACACAATGATCTTACTTTTGAAAGAGATGGTTGGTACTTTTATTAGGCTATGTGTACATTTCATAGGTGAATATATCCTTTCCACTAAGCATTTTGATATATTGGATAAAGTGCAGAGGCCACCCTCTTTCCCTCTGCAGGGCTCTGAGAGTTAGTGTTGGTAATTATTTGGACCAACTTTATTTCTTACAGATTCATACCCAAGTGTTGAGAGACTGAAAACACAAATGGATAATGGCAAGGCCATATATAAAAATAGAACTTTGTCCAGAAAAGCAAGCCATTAATGTACAGTAACCAGCCCAGGAAGTATGACCAGTGTCTTTAGTAACAATCCAGGAAGCCAAACAATAACCCTAGTGACAGTAGTTCCCAAATGGACAGGGCTGGATTACTACCTTTTAGCTTCCCTAAATTTTGTCCCTGCTTCGAACTTAGGACCAATCAGAAAAAGCCACATATGCATCCTAAACAATCACATAGCATGCCGTCTTCTGGTTAACCCACCTACAGCTTCCCCAAGCCAACAGCCTCCACTCAGGGCACACCGAAACCTCCCCTTTTCCCATGATAAAGCTTAGCCACTTCTGCTTGCCTTTGAGTGTTCTCCAAATACGAGCTATGGTGGCTGATTCCTTGCTACGGCAAGCTTTGAATAAATACTCTTTTCTTGTGTTCATTTGGTTGGTCTTTATCTGTTTCCACAGGGTTGTAAAATGGGATAACAATAATATCTAATGTACAAGTTTGTCATAAGGCCTAACTGAGGTAACTAATTTATTTAGCACTCTGTTTTCAAAGTGCTTTCTGCATTATTATTATTATTATTGGCAATCCTCTTTCCACCAGCACCCTGTGTTCCTGGAGGGGTGTAACACTTTCTTCCATCTGCTTCTCTATTCTGGCCCGTGCTCCCACCTGCCCTGCGTACCGGGGCTTGTGTCCTAGAGTTACCTGATTGAGAGCAATTTCCCGGCTGCCTCAAATTCCCAACAAAGTGAGTGGTTTCTAAAAAGAGAGAAAACTTGCTGCTGACCTTGCAAACCCTGACCTCAAGTGAACCACGGGCCCTCAGTGGTCCCTGAAATTGATGGGGCTAGTGAGCAATGGCAGCGATGTCCTTCCCGCCCCCGTTCTTAGCCCTGGAACACATAGTAACTGCAAATGTACATGCAGATGAAGGGAAGGGCCTATTATTAGTGCTAAGTTCTATTGTCATTTCTACTCCAGGTCACTTGACCTGTTTGCTGTTACTGTTGTTTAAAACCTTGGATTTATTTTTGTCTCCTGTCCTGGCATTTCAGACTTTTAAAATTCCCCCTTCGCATGCTTTTACTTATTAGAATTCTCCTTTGGGTTTTCTGTTTTTCCCCTCCGAAATTTTAGAGCAGGACATTTTCCCCCTGATGCCACAGAGTAAAATTACATGTGAAATAAATTGTTATAGTTGATTGCTTTAGAGCAACTTTCAGTAATCCCCTGAACGTTTGAGCCAAAGAAGGACTTTAGAAATCCTCTAGTGCATTGAGAATCTGTTTTTCACCAATGGCCCTTTTTAGTATCTTCTTACTCATGGGTCACATTCTTTGAAAAAAATCGTCTGTTTGGGAAATAGCACTTTAAGTAAAAAGGTGATTTAGGTTTACTTTTATTTTTGTTCTGAAAAGATAACTAACTGCCAATTCAAATCTCCAGTCAGTATTAAGTAAATAGTGTTTTTACATGGAGTTAATATAATTCCTTGTAAGTGGAGAAACTTGACATTTGGTTAGTCTGAACAGGCTTATCAGGCCTAAATATTTACCTGATTTCCCTCCGGCCTGAAGTATTCAGTATAGCTTGAGAACCTGCAATATTACTTTGACAGATACCTAAACATCCCTGATTTCAGGTTGGAAGGACTCAATTTAATCCAACTCCCTTCTTATTACAAAGGTGAAAATAAGGCCCAAATTGGTAAGGCCTGAGATAAAGATTCTCCCCACTTCCCTAAACCCTATTCCCAGGCTTCTTCCACATATCGTGAAAATGTGTCTTATTTTTAGGCACTGAAGCCGTCGCTGGGTCCAGAGCCTGAGAGCACTGTTGTTCTGGGGCAAAGTAATAATAGTAGCTGTCACTTATCACGCACTTCCCTAAATTCTAAATGCTTAC